CTATAAAATATCAAATCACTCCAGTTGTTTTGTTCAAGTATGCTAATGTTCTAAGGTAAATATTATTCATACTATATAATATCGAGATGAGCATCTCAGTAGCATGTGGTAGTTCTATGAGGTGTGGTGGGCTTCCTAATTTGTTGACTGAAGAAACCTACCATGCCATATGTATATATGCAACTGCCATTATTTTTCAAGCCACGTTAATTGAACACATGGCACACATCACAAATCAGATTCCTCTTTAATGCACTATTCCTTTGCATGACCGTGGGACATTTAGAAACTCAATTATGTTCTTATGCTTCCAAAGCATTCTTCCTTATCTTCCTGGTACGCTAATCACCATAAAAACATTCAAGGTCTCTCGTGATAAGAATAAGTATGGTATTTAAGGAATGTAATAGAAAGAATTCACAATACACAATATATTTAAATTTCATTTTGTTTGAGGCAACTTCTTATAAATTGCCATTAATTTGTTTTAATAAAATAATTTAAATTGCTTCTACTTTCACCTGATTTCAAATTAAATGAATTATATTGGTTGGGCAATGAGATTTTTTAAATACAATTGTCAAGTGCAATAAACTTGTTTTAGATATATTATGTGTGCACTAATTATTTCAACACCAATACATTTTAGCAACATATTCTATTTGTAAATGAATGCAAATCATACATTTTTTTTCTACAAAAATGAAACAAAACAACAGATTTAAGAGCTGTTATCTTTAGTTATCCTTAGATAAAAAAAAATTCCATCCTCCAAAACGCTGTTATATTAAATGAACAGATGCTTTGGGATTAAAAAAAAAAAGACTGACTACATTTGATTATGCATTACCATGGCATTAAAACAAAATTTGAACAGCGTATGAAAAAATAAAGGTACCCTATACCTCTGCTGGCGATATCCATACATATTTCTTGGCAGCACTCTATTGCCTTCTTTTCAGCATTTTTTTTCAACTTCCCAGATTAGCCAACAATTATGGAATGCTTATGTTGTTCCCCATTCAATCAAGCCAATTCAGCTTAGTTTCTAAGATCAGTCAAAGTTAGCTACAGGTTACATCTGCTGTTGCAAAAACAATTTTTGTGCCAATACTATGGAAGAGCTTTGACATTACAGTACCTGTTTCCGTTTCTAAGCCTGGTCTTCTAATTCCCTGCTAGTCTTCCAACCAAATTCTACTCAGGATTTGCCTTTTTTAGTTTCTGAGTTCAGACAAGTCTAACTAGGCATTGTCATCTAAGACCTGAAAATTCAAGGACTTCCTTTCTTTTTCCTAAAAAACTCAACTAATTTGTTTTCTTCCATTTCTTCTCTAAATATACAACTAAATAAAGAGTTCACTCTTTATCCCGCTATTTTGCCCTCTCTCCCTCCCTCCCTTTTCATAAGACTTGATATGGGAAAAGAAGCTAGCAAAAGAACGTTGCGAGCAGGGGTGAAATGCTCCCAGTTCGGACCGGATCGCCCGATCCGGTAGCGATGGCGGCGGGTGGTTCGGAGAACCGGTAGAAAAAATCCCTGCCCCCCCCCATGCCCAGCTGAACAGCACAATCATCAGAGGCTTTTTTTTTTACTTTTAAAAGTATTTTTTCTACAAGCTCTTCGGCCAAAAAATGCTTTTAAAAGTAAAAAAAAAAGTTTCTGATGATCGCGCGGCTCAGCTGGGATCGTCAAAGGCTTTTAAAAGAAAAAAACCCTTTTTTTCTTTTAAATGCCTCTGACGATCCAAGCTGAGTTGCCTGATCGGCAGAGCCTCTCAGCTTGGAGAGCAATTCAGCTTGGATCGTCAAAGGCTTTTAAAAGAAAAAAAGAAAAAAAGGGCAACTCAGCCGGGATCGTCAGAGCCTTTTGAAAGCATTTTTTTACAACCTCTTCGCTGAAGAGGCTGTAGAAAAAATGGATTTAAAAGTAAAAAAAATAAATAAAATGGCCACACCCACCCAGTCACATTACCCCACCACCACCAAGCCACGGAACCGGTAGTAACAAATTTTAGATTTCACTACTGGTTACAAGTCTGAAAATAAGAAGAAGAAGAAGAAGAAGAAGAAGAAGAAGAAGAAGAAGAAGAAAGAAGAAGAAGAAGAAGAAGAGAGGAGGAGGAGGAGGAGGAGAGGAGGAGGAGGAGGAGGAGGAGGAGGAGGAGGAGGAGGAGGAGGAGGAGGAGGAGGAGGAGGAGGAGGAGGAGGAGGAAGCTGCTAGTCAAGGTGCAGAACACTGGTGGCAGCTTCATTTTCAGTCATATCACTACCTTGTTACATATAAGACAATACAAATACCTCTGATGATGACTGTTACTCAGTAGGATGGAAAATGTTTGAATAAATTCTAAGAGCCATGCTCTGTATGCCTCCCCTACTCTGTTTTAACAATGTCACTGTGAGAACATTCAAGGAATTAAAAAAATTAGAAGAATAGATTTTATGAGTACAGGAGTTAGAACTCTATGAAAGAAAGGAATCTTGCTGAGAATGGAGTAGAATATCTTGTTAACTTCCTGCAAAATCCTGTTGCTTTTAAACACCTTCTTAAGCTGATGAAGTTGCATAAACAAAAGCAGAATTATATAGCAAAGTCATGGGACTGTAACAGAGATGCAAGAAAGATGCTCCCCCAAAACCAAACAAGGAGAAAAGGCATGGATAGAGTTTTCTTTCAATCTGAAAGAAATTTGCCTTTTTAAGAGATCAGGAAAGGCAATAGAACAGCCATTGAAAAGGTCCTACAACAGACCAAATGAGGTGGTATAGTCTTCTAAAAGGTCCATGAGAGTCTATGTAGTTCTCCTCTTAGGACCACAATTGAGAGCAGAATTTCCGTTGCTAAGTAAAGAAGATTGTTAAGTGAGTCATGCCCGATTTTGTGACCTTTTTGCCATGGCTGTTAAGCATATCACTACAATTGTAAGGTGAATCATAAGTCATTAAGTGAATCCGGCTTCCCTCATGGTTTTTGCTTGTCAGAAGCAGGCTGGGAAGATCACAAATGGTGATTACATGCTCAGGATACTGCAGCTGTCGTAAATGTCAGTTGCCAAGTGCCCAAATTTTGATCATTTGAGCATGGGGATGCTGTGATGGTCATAAATATGAGGATCGATTGTAAGTGCCACTAAACAGTAATAAACAAATGGTTGTCAGTTTGAGGATTACCTGCAAGACCTACCAAATATTTCCAGGAGGAAGGACCTAGCAAAAAGATCAAAGTGGCAGGCAATCAAAGAAAGACTCTAAGGTACAGAACGGTTGCCAGCTACTAAACAAACTGAGTAGACTATAGTGGGCAAAATGCCAGGAGAAGTCCTAAACAATAGATCTGTCGTATATTTCATGGTAATGATCTGCATTTTTATTTTTGCCTTAGGCACAGAATAAAATCTTTGCCAACCGAGCATAACAGCATTGCTTGATATTGCTGTCAGCAACAATGCTTCGCCTTAAAAAAATGTATCTGCTGGCATTAAAAACCAGGACCCAAGGTTCAATAAAACATGACTTTAATTTATTTACTACCTAACAAAAACACCAATAAAACCCTTAGAGAAACAACCATCTCCTTTTAATCAGGATATGAAGTATAGATTAAATTTATAAATTAAGTAACAAATGTCTACTGACTGTGCTGAGATTAAGGTCTAGCTTTGAACCATATTTAATAGTAGTACCCATATGTCCTTGAAGCTAATTTGGATTCTTTTTCAGCTCCAGCAGCCAGTAGTCCCAGACAATAAAAAATATATTTTATAAAAAATTGAAGTTTTACCAAATTCCTGGCAATAGTTACACGTCTATGCAATCCTTTAAAAATGGGATTTGATGAAATATCTTATCTCAGCTATATTCTTTCTGAATGAAAGCCAAATATTATAAGAGTTTAAGGAAGTTCTATCAACTTTCAAAATTCAAACGAGAGATTGAAATAAAGCCCTAAGCAATGCTATTTAATAAACTTCCTAGAGCCACTTCAGGTTTCAGAGGCTGAAAAAAGCAAGGCGCAGTGCTCACAACCAACACACCGATTGCTAAAGTTGACCTCTGGGAACAGCTCATTGAGGGTATTCCGGGAGGCCGAATCACCCCCAATCAGCTTTTTTCTTAGTTTCCTCCCCAAAAACTAAGGTGCGTCTTATACTCTGGTGTGTCTTATAGTCTGAAAATACAGTATGTTTGTAGGCAGTAGTACATAGAAGTAAAATGCCTTCTTCTATGTGGTTACTATAAAACTTTACTTAATTCTAAGAGGGCATTTCATCCAGTCTGATGATCAGATAGTGTTTTTGCTAGGCAACTTTCAGCTTCCATGAACCATACCCCTGAAAAAACTATCATATAGAAATAGAGAAAAGTTATAATCTAAAATTTTCACTAATATATTATATTTAATTCGTAGGAAGCTCACTATAAGATATCCACTCAAATATGCAGCCATTCAATTCTATTGAGCTGCTATACTATATAAATTATATTTGCTGTTTTTTTTTCTCAAAATCACTATAATATATTACTGTAGCTCAGCCTTAAGAATATTAAAAGAATTCTAAGCAAACATAGGCTAAAAAGAATATTGAATGAATTACAGTACTTTTGACGATATACAAATGGAAGGAAAAGTTTCCATCTGCTGAATGGCAGACAGTGGATAGCAAACGTCTAAACTGTGGTACTTTTATACATGAATTTTCTCAAAACCTTTTCAGTGCCAGGCAGGTGTTTAAATTTCTTTGTTAACCTCTTAAGAAAATGGCTTCAGATATTTAAATGCACTGATATTTTGTGTTTAAACTGTATATTGAATTACAGATACTTAGTGTAGATTACAAACTTGATCATTAATTAATTGTGCATGTTATAGAAGGGATGGAAAGAAGACAATCATGTTTCATTATCTGAGCCTACATCAACAGTGTCAAGTAATGTTGCTTCCACTTCAAATGTGTCAAAAGTGGTTTAGCTTTCTGCCTAATATAGTTGCTACATACCTTGTGAAAATTTCTGAAATACGCTGCCTTCTCATCTGGAAATTTTTCTAGCCTTCGAGGTCCTTTACTTGAAGCTTTCTTGAAGACCAGCCAGCATCTCCTGAAAATCTATACACACAAAAAAAAAAAAAAAAAGAAAAATTACCATCCGTAGAAAACTCATATTGTAGCCACCTGAATATGATAACAGAACTTTGATATTGTAAGGTTTCCCTCATTTCATTTATAAATAAATATTTGTTTGTTTCACGTATGATATAGAATAGTGAGAAACATTCATTGTTTTTAGAGCATTTCGTGTCTCCGATTTAATTCTTAATCTCAAAAACACCTGAATAATTTGGACAAGAAAAAATTAGCCCATTTCTAGTACTAAATTATTTTTCAAGATCATGTACTATACTATTGTGAAATTGGTTTAGGGATATATACCAGATTCACTGATAAACATACCTTGGGCATGCTTTATTATTATTATTATTATTATTATTATTATTATTATTATTATTATTATTATTATATACAAAATGACAATATACACAGCAGACGAGATAACCATGCTGGATTTTGTATCCCAAATCACTAGTCAAACACTTCCCAAGCGTTTAGGACTGCGTGATGTATCGGCGGATTATGTGAGCAGATCCCAGTAAGGTGGCTTTCTGCAGCTGACCAATGGTGATCTTGTCAGTGCCAATTGTTTTTAAATGCTTGCCTAGGTCTTTTGGCACAGCACCTAGTGTGCCGAGTACCACTGGAACCACCTGCACTGGTTTATACCATAGTTTCTGCAATTCAATTCTCAAATCCTGATATCTGGTGACTTTTTCAAGTTGTTTCTCGTCGATTCTGCTGTCACCAGGTATGGCAATGTCGATGAGCCACACTTTTTTCTTCTCCACAATCGTGATATCTGGGGTATTATGTTCCAAAACTTTGTCAGTCTGTATACTTTTTCAGGCTTATGATCCCCCAGTTCTTTGCTACAGGCAGATGGTAGTTGTGACACAATTCCCAGTGGACCATCTGAGCGACTGTTGTTTGTAATCATTCTTCTCCTCCTCCTCCTCCTCCTCCTCCTCCTCCTCCTCCTCCTCCTCCTCCTCCTCCTCCTCCTCTTATTTAATGCAGAATACATTAAATCAATAGGCTTTATTCTGAGCTGAGCATGTACCAGATTGCAGCCAATGTGTTTTTAAAATATATCTTGTACAAGAAAAATAAATTTTATGCACTGGAATATCAGTTTTAGTCATGTTTTAGAGTCAGGTATTAAAGTAAAACTGATAAGATTTTCTTTGATATTCCTCCAGCCCCCCTTTAGCATTTGCAACTGGTTTAACATCAATCTGCTAATTGTCTCAATGACATATTCACTAACCAACTTGATCCCAGCCCCTAAGAGAACATAAATTATTTCAGTGTGGGGACTGCAAGAGTGTTCAGGAACAAGCAGATGTTCAGATGAGATGGGAATTGAGCTAGAAGACTGCACTGAGTTACTTGTAACAGCAACTTTATCCTACATTATCTCTAGAAATAATGTTGCAATGTGGCAGACTTCCAGTAAACCTAGTAGAAAGTAAATACCCAGAGGTAGTGCTTTTCATGTACTTTGATATCTAGTGTTTTACTGAATACCTAATTTACAATGGTTTCACTTTCTGGTCCTTGAGTAACAAGAGGCTCTTTTGTGTTCTGCATCTCCAAGGTATTAGAATCTGTTTCTTTCTTCTTTGTTAATTTCTCTCGCTATTGTTAATGCTGATCAATGTATTCATTGTCTGTTCTTTTTAATCTAATTTACACCTACTCCTTTTATTTGAATATTTGAAACAGAGATCAAGGGCAATACTTTAAAATGTACAATATTGTATTAGGCCTCCAATATTTTTACAGAAACTACTTTTTATAAATTATCTAGTTTCTTTTGCCCTGAACTTAAAAGTTTTTAAAACTATTTTTTTTAAAAAATCCTCTGTGCAGCAATAATATATCCAGCTATTAGTAAAAAGAAAGCTGCTCATTTATTTCTTTAACTACGAACAATGACACGAATTCTTTTCAAGAAGCTTGCATGAGAGTACTGTATCAAATTATAATAAAAACAGGAGGCCCTTTTGTCAAAATTATAATATTTTTAATGATTTAAAAAATCCTAATATTATTTCCATCCTCAACTCCAAGGGTAATTCTGTCCTCAATTACATAGCTATTTTTCTGAAAATGAAATTTTTAAAGTGTTCCACTAGAAATACAATAGGAAAGAAGGAAGGAATGAACTTAAAACTTTTCCTTGCCAATCTTTAGCTATTTCAAACTCCCCCTTGAAGTTTTTAAATACCTGCATATCTTTCCTAACTGACTCTCAATGTTAATGACAAAATCCCTGTGACTGAATCTCCAAACTAATTCATTATTCAATCACTTAAATGATAGTTGAGATAACTACTGTGAACTAAATTGAATGACTTTTGGTTTTTATCAGTGAATGAAAAAGTCTGAGCACAATGAGCCTACCCACATACAATTCATAATTAGCAAACTATCATGAACTAAGTATTACTTAGGACTATGTGAACTCAGATTTAAGTGATGCTTCCGCAAAGCTCAGAGGATGACCTTGGGCCTAACTTTCAGACTAATTTATTTCAGAGGTTTGCTATAAAGTTAAAAAAAATGAACAATTTATGCTTTCCTGAGCTGCTTGGAGGAAAAATACAGTATCAATGAAAGAAATCACTGTCAATTCAGTGTGCGCTGAAATTATTAAATCTATTGAAAGCAATGCTATCTGGACAATCTAACTTTAGTTAAATGTATTTGCAGCTGGGTGTGCAGCTAAAGTAAATTGTAGGCTTTTAGCATTTATTTCAGCTGATAAACAAATCCAACATCTTAAGCTTTCGTTGTTTGTTCCAGGGTTCTATTTTTGTTTTAGTTTAGCATGTAAACAATCGAATAGGCAATCTTTGTAAAGTGGAATAAATAAGTAATAAGATCAGGAAGATATCATGCACTACAAATGAATGTATATTTACGAAAGACATCTTGTCCAACAGAAACACAGTTAACTATTCAGGTACAGTTAGTTATTGTATTATTTCTGATCCACTGTTAGTTGCACGAATTTCTCCAACTTTCTCAGTTCACAACATCCTTACTGTCCCTGTAATCTTTTCATGGCACTTCTAGGTCAAAACTATGATCAATATTCAGTTTGCAACTTGCAATCCTATAGGTTCCCCTTATATTGTGATCCTGTATAAATGAACTGCAGCACCATGGACAGAGTTTGGAAACAGAGATCCTGCTGCTGCTGTGAAAAATTTGGAGGAAAAATTCACTCAGATCCACTCACGAGTTCGATATCAGCTGGGCAGCTCCAATGTCAGAAGTTGACTGAGATCCATACTGCAGGGTTATATGAAATGAGTTTGATCTTGTAACTTCTGAAGAAGTGGACAAGATCCTCTCCAATATTCCTGTAGGATGGACCCACGGCTAACCTGGTTAATGAAAGCCTCCAGAGATGTAATTGGAGCTTCATTATAAAAGTAATCAATGTATCTTTGGGAGATGAACTGTAATGGGCAAGCAGGAATTGTTACCCATTTTTGCAAATGACACCTTCTTAGGAAACCAAGGTTTACTCTGCATATATGGACAGTTATTCACCTGTTTCCAATCTCCCCTTCAGAGAGGGGGAGGTTGTAGAGAAAGTGATTGAACTGAAATTGCAGAGAGTTGTGGATGAAACATTATCTGGACCAGATAATGTTTAAAACTATAGGATAGTCAAAAGTCCAGAGAAGTAAGCCAAAAGGTTGTCTGAATTATAGTCTGAGGATCAGAGAGCTGTAATGAAATTGTCACAAAGCAGCAGAGTTCCCACAGGCAGAAGTTCAGGGCAAAAAATTGCAGATATTCTGATAAATGGAGCAGTTATTCCTATTGAGAGACAGGCTATCAAACAGAGCTTAAGTCACTCTATCAAGGCTGGAAATGACCCTGGTGTACAAAGAGATATGCCGAATACCATTACTCTGTTCTCCATCGTACACAGCATGCTCTGAACCTGAGTGGTCTTTCCAGCTATAGTTCTTCGTCCTCTGACAATAGACCCAGCTGAACCTGGTGATTTTTAGGGTAGCCTCAGGTGTCTGGATGCTCAAAGCTTCCTCAGGCTGATATCCAAACAACTCTCCAAAGAAAGCTCAGTTGTGTTAGAACCCTCTGAATCAGATGGATATACCCTCTGGATAATCTGATGGATATTTTGCTTGCCAGTTGGTTTCTGGAGCACTTCCAGGAGTGCTTTTCAGAATTTGGTGCCTAAGTATTTGTGCAATTGCCTTTTCCCTGCTCAACCAGTCAAAAAGAGGTTGTAGGCCATGCTCCCTATGTGTCTCATCAGGGCTCCCCCTGCTCTCTGGAATACTGCCACTTGATACTCAATTGGATCCTTTTAGGAAGCTGGTGGAAAACTGGCTATTTCATCAAAAGGAAGGCTGGATTGTTTTAACTAACTCTTGGATGGGAAAGTAGGTTTCCTTTTATTATTCTTTATATGGTACTTTTAGTTATGACTCTCAGTTTCACAGGAATACTTCTAGTAGTTGTTTTTAACTGACTGTACGTTTTAATCCCAATTATGTATTGGTGAATGGTCTGTTGCTCAACTGGCAGAATGGAGTGTCCCATCAGTCAATCTTGCTATACAGAATGTCTCCTGCAGGAACTTGGTGCCTCTTCTTGTGTGTGTGTGTGTGTGTGTGTGTGTGTGTCAGTGTGTGTGTATCCCTGTTTATTTTACAATTAGATAGATGCTTCCCTATTTATCTAGCTGACAGTCAATATTCCATACCTAACAATTATGTCTAGGAATTCTATCACAAGGGGATTCCCTTCTGTTTATTTTATATTCTGTTAAATCTATAAACAAGTTATTGTACAGGTATTTCAAAATATATGCACACTGATTCAGGAACTATTAAGGTAAACGTAAAGGTTCCCCTTATATGTAAGTGCTAGTTGTTCCCAACTCCTCTCCGTTTCAAAGCCGAAGAGCCAGCGCTGTCCCAAGATATCTCTGTGGTCATGTGGCT